TCAACACAGAGGAATCATTTCCTCCATGCTTCCAAGTGAAGCCAGCCATAGTCGAGCAGGACCTTTGGCTTATCTTCACATAGGTGGACCGGGTAAAAGAAAGGAGCCAGGGGCTCCTCCCAAGCTCATGTGACCCCTGAAGAACAGATCCTCAAACGACCTTAAGAGTAAAAATAAATTGGTTTATCTGGGCCAACTGTATGGCCTTAAATATCCAAAAGGAAAAAATAACCAAAGAGTAAAGGGGTCAATATAATTTCTTAAGAGTCCATTTGCATAGCTAAAGTCTACATAACAAGCAACAATGCCAGACAGGAGATACCTTCTTTTGAGTTGTTGGCCAGGGTGACCAAAGGGACTCCCAAATAGTAACCCAGCATAGAACTGGGAAAATGAACAGCAGACCCCAATCTTATCTAAAGGAGTATTGACAACTGATTGCTGCTAAAAGAGGCACAGCTGACCCTCCTAAAATAAAGACCTCTAGATAGGCTGACTAGATTCACCAGAAGGGCAAGTAGTGGGGAATGGCTGGAGGTGACGCCAACACAGCAGACAGTAGCAGGGATATCAGAGTATAAGGGCTCTAGTTGGGGGAGGGGGGCTATGGGAGAGTGCCATCTGGGAAGTGGGTGTATAGTTGAATATGTTTTAGGATGTTCTGTGTGATACACACACATACACACACAAACACACACACACACACACACACACTGAACAAGAAAGCACTCAGGAGGGAGCACAAGCAGTGTCCCATCACTTTGGACAGCTCATTGTAGTACGTCCTTTTCCTCCTGTCATAACTTGATCATCCCATTAAAGTCTTGAAGTAGAGATAATGGTGCCTTGGTAGCCTGGCCAACAAGTAAACAGAACATCACAATAATCATTAGACCTCTGGTAATGGTTAATGGAGATGCTAACATTTCCTAGCAGAAGGGGGCATGACACAGAACCCTCACTAGAGATCCTAGCCATTAATCTTTCCTACCTCTTTCTAAGCTACAAGTGTTCTTGGGAGATGCTAGGGCATGTAAGAGGTGGAAGGTTAACTGAATGTGATACTACATGTTGTTGCTTCTGTGAAATCATCACCTACGATGGTGTGGGTCTTTGCAGTGATGTGTTTTGGTGTCAACTGTGCTATGGTAAGTAACCCCCTTACCCATGGTCCTGTAAATAATTCCAAATTAATTGGTTTGAAGAGGAAAATAAATATAATCTATGTGTTTAATGTTGTTCTTTGTATAAGATCGATTTTTCTTTTGTTTATTGCTGGTTTTTAAATTTTTATATTTCACTATACTTTAGGACATTGTACTGCCTTCCATAGCAAATGTTTAACTATAGCTGATAGAAGTAAAAGTAACAATGGAGAACACAGGAAGCCAGAAAACCCACAGCTATTTGATGGAACATGTTTGCAATTGTTCTGGTTGACAAGGCAGTAACCACAAATTCTGTTGCTAAAGATGTTTAACTAATTGATGCCACATTTACTTTTGAAATCAGGCTTGACCAACTAACCACAGAAGGAATTTCTTGTAATTGTCATGTGACACATAGGCACCTGTGTTGTAAATTATGGGAACCACAGTTTCAACCTGTGCTGGATAGCTTTAGTGTCAACTTCACACACCTGGCTTGAAGGGGCCTCAGTTGGGGGAATTTCCTCCATAGGACTGGCCTGTGGCCATGTCTGTGGGCCATCTTCTTGATTGTTGAGTAATGTGGGAGGGCCCAGCCCACCGTGGGCAGGTGGGCCTGTGTTGCATAAGAAAGCAGGCTGAGCAGGGGCCAGGGGAGCAAGCCAGTAAGCAGAGTTCCTCCATGGCCTGTGCTCCAGCTCCTGCCTCCAGGTTCCTGCCCTGAGTTCCTACCTTGGGTTCCCTGATAAACTGTGACCTGGGAGATGTAAGATAAAATAAATCCTTTCCTCCCCAAGTTGGTAGTGGTCAGAGTATTTTGTCACAGCAGTGAAGAAACAAACTAGGACAAAACCCATCATTGTGTAATAGCTAAAAAGTGATGTGAGAAACCCTGTATAAACGGCTTGGGGCCCAGAACTTAAGAATGCTAGCTCTGCCAGGTCCGCTGTCGTTACCAAAGAAGTGAGTTCTCCAACTCTCTGAGCAAGTGCTTGATTTCTCCGCTGTCTTTTTCCTGTAACGGCTTCACCAAGTTGGACTTGAATGGATCCTTACTTTGGTCTGTCATTGCTTCGCTGTCTGAGGTAAACAGATTTCTGTTCAGGCCTCCCTAGGAAAAGTTAATACAGACTTTAACAAAGGGAGGATTGTCCAAAAATGGGTTTGGATTTTCCTAGAAAAGGGTTTACTCCACTTTTCTGTCCTTTCATGTGTTAGAAGACAGGTCTGAGCATTTAGGCCAGATCCCACAGCCTGAATCAGGTGGTCCTTCCCTGCCACCCTCTCTAAGATGGTTAAGAAGCTATCTGTGCTGTGCCTTGACAGCTCTTAATTTATGGTATGTGGCTCCTCTGCTCCTCTGTCATCTCAGCTAAATCACATGATGTAGAACTTCCCACTACCCCTGAAAGATCATAAGAAGTCACATTCCCCCACCCCCTCACTTTGTTCTGAGGATTGGTCTGGAGATTCCTCAGGGCGATTTGCTCAAGGAGGCACTTTGACAACTGCTTTCAAAAGACTCCTCTGACCTTCCCCACCATCCCTTTCATCCCTCTCTCTCTTATTCTCACTCTTAATGAAGCTTCTGTCCAGGCTTTAAAGGAAAGCCTCTCCTTCCCTCTAAGGCCCCCATCATGTTTAGAGCTCTGTGTTGTTCTGTCTAGTGCCATTTCTCCTAAACTGGTTTTCTGAAAGGGATTATGAGTGAGATTACTTTCTGTGCCTGATTGCTGCTCTTCTATTATTATATTTAGCAATGTGGGATTTTCTAAATGTGTCACAGCATCAGATGAATGATAGGAGTAGACAAATTTGTAGGGCTAATGATGTGGAGATATTTTTATAACCAAGACAGCTTATAGTTGTCTAGGTTGGCTGTGTTGGTTCCAACAGATTTTGGGTGGTCTTGTGTGTTAGATCACAGTCTCTCTCTCTTGCCTCTCTCTCTCTCTCTCTCCTAGAGTTAAGAAGCCACACTTTGCTGTGGTCTTGAAGTCCCTCCCCCTTGCAACTACAAGATAAGTTTATGCCCATGTCCCTTGGCATGTAGGCTAAGTCAGATGAAATTGTGGTATAGAACTCCCCCCCCCAAAAAAAGCTATAAAACTTATGAATTTCCTTTGCTCAGGGGATTCTGTGAAGGGCCTACTCCCTTTCGGGGCCCATGCCATGGTGTCTCTTAATGAAGCTCCTCTGCAGGCTTTTGACAGGAATCCTTTTGCTGTCTCCCCTCAAGGCCCCGCCTGTTGTCTCTGATCTGATGCTCTGTCTGTCCTAATTGCTTTCCCAATTGGACTCTCCAGGATTGGGAGGCTTTTTCTCTTCACAACACTCGCTCTGAAGGGTTGGTTTCAGCTTCACTTCTAACCTGCTCCATCGGAGCCTCCTTTCATCTTATTTTTGTTGTGCCATTGTGACATTTTCTGTTTGATCATTGACTTGATGTTCTTCCATAACACAGTTCTATAGTTGCATCAGCAGCTTGGAGTTGTCTGGCTTTTCCTATGTCTGTCTGCAAAAACAGTAGGAACAAACCAGACAGCAGGTGAAAGACACGTCCCCTAGCACTTCCAGACCTCTATCAGTTTGTAGCTTCTTCTAAGAGTGGAGACAAGCCGTGGAGGGTCGAGAGCATGAATGAGGGATGTGCCCTCCCCTGTTTAGGAGCCCTGGGAAGTTGCTGCCCGGGATGGATATTCACAGGTGAATGTTGAATGAGGTCAGTGAGTTAAATTTAAAGCTAGAGCCATTGGGGTTTGCTGACTCAGTGATGACTGGGGTTCGGAGAGCAAAATTCCAAGATATAACTTTGGCACAGTGAGCAATTTTATGTAAATGAAAGGAAAACACCTTAGAATCAACGTTTCTCTGACTCTCTCTTGGTTTTCCACTGTTGGGACAGGTCCTGGCAAAGGAGTTTGCCTGTTTAACTGGGCTTTGTCAGATCATTCCCGTGAACCTTCAGTCAGCAGAGGGAAATTTTTCTTTGCCTGGGCACAGAACAAAACAGTCAAGGGTGATGGGAAGTTTTTAGTCAGAATATCTTGGAGAAAGTTGCTATTTACTGAAATGTGATAGAAATAATTACAAAGAATTCACATCTTTCCTATCAAAAGGATGATCCCAGGCATACAACCTTTATAGTGCTGTTTTATAATCCCCACCCATTGTAAAACTTTTGTTGACTCGAAGGACCTGCTATAGTCCTGAAACTTGATGTCCGGATCTGCTGATCTGTTTCCCCGTTCCCTTTCCTCTCATTTCCTTACAGCCAGTTTTAAAAAAAGAAATATGAAATACTTCATGAATTTGCTTGTCATCCCTGCGCAGAGGCCATGCTAACCTTCTCTGTATCATTCCAATTTTAGTATGTGTTGCCGAAGCGAGCACCAAGCCAGTTCTTTTAAAACTAGCCAACTGCAAAAGACTGAGGTTGGACTCCAGCCAATGGGGGAAAAACAGAACTCTTTCGTCAGGATAAAACCTGTCAAATTGCATGTTTGGTGTGCTTGCTTGTTATTAGCACCCTTTTGCAAAAGTAAAAACTACCTTGCCTGTTACTTTTGCTTTCTTGATTGTTCTTTGTGCAGTATTGATGGGGTTCTTGAACCTCGGATTTTAGTTCTAACAAAGGGAAGAGACACTGGGAGGAGCAGATCTAGATTAGGAATTCAGCAGTGCCTGTGTGAGTTTAAAAATCAAACCAAATAGGAATGCTAGGTTAGAAGCCAGAAATGTGACCATAAGTTCAGCCAAGAGTTTTGGACTAGAGATCTGTGTGCAAGAACTGTATGTGTAACCTGGTGCTTTCTCTCTCTGTACTCACAGACTGGTGAGCCTCATCTAGTTTCCTGGTGGCACACGCCTTTAATCCCAGCACTCGGGAGGCCTGAAACCCCAGGACTACAGATCCTGAAGCAACAGGATCATGATTTTAGCCTGTGACACACAGTAAGAGCTTATATACAAAAGAAGGAAGGAAGGAAAGGGGAGAGGGAAGACGGAAAAGAGACAAAAGGCTACAACTCTCAGACCAAATTGACAAGTCAAGATGCAGAGACCTTGTTAAGTAGAGATTCACAACCAGGGTGGATGTTTAGAAACGGCTGAAGACAAGTTTTTGGTTGTTGCAACGAAGGCAGGGTACCACTGCCGTTCAGTGAGTACTGATCAGAAACACCCGTAAAGATCCAATAGGGTCAGTGCAGATTCCACAATGAAGATTTATCTGGTTCTAAATCCCAGTTCTGCTGAGGTTGAGGAATTCTGCCCGAAAGAAATCAGCGAAGGGGGACTGGAGAGATGGCTCAGGTCTGAAGAGTACTTGCTGTTTTTGCGTATGAGTTGGATTTTGTTCCCAATACCAACACGACAGCTCAAAACTGTCTCTAACTTCATTTCCAGGGGGAATGGATGCTC